ATGGGCTCAAACATACCTACTATTGTTAGGGTGGTGCAGGACTGGGCAATGTTACATTCTGTTATCCATAAGGTCATTATAGTTGGAACTGACTTGACAGCACCTAACAACAGCAACAACAAAGAGAATTTGCCCTACATCACAACATTGGCAAATGAATGGCTTTATATTATAATATGTAATGTAAATATGCATTTGTTATGATTTCCTACTATAACTTTTTCTATTTACCAACAAATTGTATGTCCCAAACAAGTTGAATGAAGGGTCTATTTTCAATCATCTTTTTACAATGAGGAAAATGAAACTCATCAAAGTTAAGTACAGTCAGTAAATAGTAAATCTGGATCATAAACTCAAGCCACATGCATCCACATGGAATCTTCTGCTAGCAAGAATGTGCCACTACACAATTATTGAAATAAAACACAGGCCATTTCAGAAGGAATAGTATATTTAATATCTGTCTTTAATCTCACAGGTGATCTGCTTCAGGTCAAAGCCATGAAAACCCTATGGAGCACAGGCCAACTCTGAAACACACTGTGTCACCATGAGTCAGAATCCACTCAACAGCAACCAATTTCTGGTTCTTTAATCTCATTGCTATAATTTTGGAACTTTCTCAAAAAGAAATTATGAACAAAGATAGAAATACTATTTTTGAACAGGGTATAACAAAATAAAACAAACAAGAACAACAACAACAAAAAAAAAACATTACAAAGGTAGAAACAGGAAGACCAGATACGAGATCACTGAAATAGTTTTGGTAGAGATGATGGTTACATGCACTAGGAATAGCTGAAATTTATATGCTAATTCTTGAAACATATGTGCTTATAGTATGCCTTATAATGTTTGAGAGGCAGTTAACATAGCCTTAAGGTTAAGAAGGCAGTCTCTGGAATCAGAATGCCTGGGTTTGCGGCCTGGCTCTACCATTTACCAGCAGGTGATACGGGCAATTCACTTAACCTCTCTTTGCCGCAGTCTCCTCCTCTGCAAAAAGAGGAAGATAATTCCTACCCCTATAAGGCTATTTTGAGGATTAAATAAAATAATCCATGTAAAGGAGTATCTGCCTGATAGTAAGCACACATTATTCATTAGCCAACTGAGTAATGCTAGTGAAGATGCTAAAATAATGGTTAAGGGTATTGGCTTGGGAACTAGCCTGCCTGGATTCAAATCCCAATTCAATTATTTACCAGCTCTGTGACCTTGGGAAAAGTTACTTAACCTCTCTGTGCCTCAATTTCCTCATCAGTAAAATGTACATAATAACAGCTTAATTCCATAGGATTATTGTGAGGATTCAATAAGTTAAAAAGTCTGAAGTGCCTGATGCATAATAAAATATTTAATATAATAAATGTTAGTCACTATTATTTTGTGGACCAATAAACAACATCATGATAAATGGAGAAAACAGTGAAGTTGTCAAGGATTTCATTTTACTTGGATCTACAATCAACGTGCATGGAAGCAGCAGTCAAGAAATCAAACAATGTATTGAATCCGGCAAATCTGCTGCAAAACACCTCTTTAAAGTGTTGAAAAGCAAAGACCTCACTTTGAGGACTAAGGTGCGCCTGACCCAAGCCATGGTATTTTCAATCACCTTATATGCATGTGAAAGCTGAATAATGAATCAGGAAGACCAAAGAAGAATTGATGCCTTTGAATTATGGTGTTGGTGAAGAATACTGAATATACCATGGACTGCCAGAAGAACAAACAAATTTGTCTTGGAAGAAGTACAGCCAGAATGCTTCTTAGAAGTGAGGATGGCAAGACTTTGTCTCACGTACTTTGGACATGGTATCAGGAGGGACCAGTCCCTGGAGAAGGACATCACACTCGGTAAAGTACAGGGTCAGTGAAAAAGAGGAAGGCACTCAAGGAGATGAACTGATACAGTGGCTGCAACAATGGGCTCAGACAGCAATGACTGTGAGGAGGGTGCAGGACTGGGCAGTTTTCGTTGTGTTGTGCATAGGGTCGCTCTGAATCAGAATCAACTATAAGGCAGTGGGGTTGGTTTTTGGTTTACAGATGGATCACCAGTGCCTTCTAGTGGCAAACTGCTAATAAATTCGTCAAAGAAGGAATGTTGCCCATGTTGTTGTGTGCTGTGGAGTAGATTCCAACTGATAGTGACCCTGTAGACAGAGTAGAACTACCCCATAGGGTTTCCAAGGCTGTAATCTTTAAGGGAGCAGACCACCAGGTCTTTTCTTAGAGCTGTTGGGTGGGCTCGAACCGCTCACCTTTTGGTTAGCAACTGAGCGCTTACCATTGTGCCACCAGGGCTCCTTATGTTGCCCATCCCAAAACCAAACTCAGTGCCATGAAGTCTATTCTGACACGTAGCAATCCTCTAGGACAGAGTAGAACTGCCCCATAGGTTTTCCAAGGCTGTAAATTTTTACGGAAGTGGACTGCCACATCATTCTCCCTCGGAGCGGCTGGTGGGTTCGTGCCATGGACCTTCTGGTTAGCAGCTGTGGGCTTTAACTACTGTGCCACCAGGGAGCATTATGTTGCCCATACAGGGGTAAAATTCCTAAAGATACATACTGAATTTTTTAAAAGACAAACTAAATATAATGCAGCTATTTGGAAATTTGTGACACGCTTTATATAAATATTTGAGTGTTATAAATGAAAGTTGAAGAAATTCCAAACTGGAAAACCATAAGGAGCATGCTTGGAACACACAGTACAAAAAAAAAAAAAAAAAAACTTGTTTTGCATAAGCCAAACAACTGGGTTCAAATCCATGTTAAAATGTTTTGAAAGATGTGTGATGTTAAGAAACCCTTGACTTTCTCTAGACCTCAGTTTTCTATGATATAAAATAAGAATGTTACATGTGTTAAATTCCTTTTCTAGTTATAAAAGTCAGTGATTTCACATTAATCTCAACATGACAGATCTATGGAATTATCTGTTAGAAGCATTTTCTTGGGGGAAAACTTATAACTTCTAAGATCCTTCCCAACTTTATGATTTTTGGTAGTATGCAGCTATACTGGAGCCAAAGAATTGGAAATGTGCATTCTTGTTGCGGAGCCCTGGTGGCACAGTGGTTAAGAGCTTGGCTGCTAACAAAAACGTTGGCAGTTCAAATCCACCAGCTGCTCCTTGGAAACCCTATGGCGCAGTTCTACTCTGTCCTATAGGGTCGCTATGGGTCAGAATCAACTCAATGGCAATAGGTTTGGTATTCTTGGTGTAATTTAAACGGCACAAAAGCTGTAACATGATATTAAGTTATACTATCACATAAATCAAAAAATTAATACCAAATAAAGATCCCAGGCCATAACACCATACAGCTCTACTTTCTGCAAGACATATATTTGTTGGTCAAACCTTACAGAAGAACTAAAATTTTTGTAAAACTGCAGCAATCTATGTAGGCAGTCCTCATTTTGCACAGTCCTCTGATATGCATAAATTTCAGTGACCACAATTTAGTTAAATAACACCAATCCCCCAACAACACAGTTCAAATGGCAGTTATCATGGTATATTAACTGTAACTGTATAAGTTACAAACTTCATTGTTATCTCTTTACTCCACAAATCACTACAAAAAATAACATATGTACAACATAATCAGTGACCAATCACATCATTTCTTTCAAAGTCTATCAGTGATTGGTCACTGCATATTTGTAATTCAGTTCACACAGACAGTAAAGCTGTAGTTGTGTTACCTCCTCATCTCCCACTGATAAACCTACAAGACATTTTACAAAAATGGATAATCCAAGGAGCAAACTGGCCAACAAAGATGAAAGTACAACAAAGAAACAAAACATGATAATGCTGGAGGTGAAACTGGATTTGATCAGACGATCTGAAAATGGCAAAGGCAAAGCAAAGAAGTCAAAGTACGAACTATATTGAAAAAGTTCAATGAATATAAACATCACTTCAGTCCCTAGGTGGTACAAGCAGTTCGTATTTGACTACTAAACTAAAGGTAGTTCAAACCCACCCAGAAGTGCCATGGAAGAAACTCCTGGCAATCTGCTTCAGTAAAGACAGCCAAGAAAATCCTGTGGAGCACTTCTACTCTGTAACACGTCAAGTCACCATGAGTCGACCTATGGGTAGGTAGGGTAAACTTACTTCAACAGGATTCAAACTGAATATAAATGGAGTTGTAGAAGAAATAGGTGACTGTGGAAAAGTTGACACTTCCGCCATTAAAGAGCTCTAGCTAATGCAGCCAGGGGAACTTAGTGAAGGTGAATTTATCAACACAAATGAGGAAAGTAGTTGGGACGAAAAAGATGAAGATGTCCCAGAGGAAGGGACAAGGGCAAAAAACTTCATATTAATAAAGGAACTATCAGAGATTATTTCACACCTTTGACAATGCACAGGACAAATTGTTGGAATCTGATCCAAACTCAGAAAGGAATCTGACAATTCTCCAAGGCATAGAAAAGATGCTCACTCTGCATCTTAAGTTACAAGATGAGAAGAAAGCACATACTATTCAAACTATTCTTGATAAGTCTTTACAAAGACATAAAACTCTTTAATTCTCAAGTTTTATAATGTTTTAAATTACAGTTTACTGAATAAATATCAGTTTTACTATTTTTTCATTTTCCTATACATTTATAACTAACAATAAGGGAGTTTTTAATGTTTTGAGAAACACTTTCAAAGGTCGCAGAACAATTGTAATTTTCTGAAATCACTTTGCCTTGTTTCAGCTTGCATGATCATTTTTATGATCCTGCACTACTGTGAAATCAAAGACTGCCTGTATTACTAATGCCTAAATTTTTCTTTCACAGTTTCCAGTCACTATGAGCTTACAACATTTCAAAAACTGTCACTTATTACCTGCTAGTGTAATAGCTAGTCCCCTTCTAACCATATTTCATAAATTTTCTGCAGTACCTGCAAATATTAAAAGATGCCCTTTCTCCTCGCCAAACCCAGACATAGTATAGAAGAGCATCATGTACCTGGCAGTGGTAACTGAACTAATATACCACTGACTCTTGGGTCCATGTTCAACTGATCAGTTATATCCAAAAGTTCTTCCTGAGAAACATTCTTAGGTTTTAGAATGAGCTCACTGCAGATACCTGGAAGAAAAGAAGCAGAAAAAGTCATTTGACTAATAAAGATATGTTTTGTTTTTTTATGGTGTGCAATTGGTTTCTTCTGCTCCTGTTCTGGTGGAAGAAAAGGCAGTTCTGCAAAGATGGTGTTCAACTTACCATGAGGAGGGATTTTTCAAATACTAGAGTTGTTTTCTCGTGATTCATATGACAAATTGCACTTACTTTTGATAAGCTACACTGTCACATGGGGTTGCTATGAGTATGAATCAACTCAACAATAACAACTGTTAGCAGACAGAGACATTGGTGGTCTAGTAGTAGAACTCTCACCTTCCATATGGGAGATCCAGTTTCTATTTCTGGCAAATGCACCTCATGCACAGCTATCACTTGTTGATCAGTGGTGGCTTGGGTATTGCTATGATGCTGAACCAGTTTCAGTGGAGCTTCTGGACTAAGATAGACTAGGAAGAAAGGCCTGGTGATCTACTTCTGAAAAATCAGCGAAGGAAAACCCTATGGATCACAATGGAACAATGTCCAATTCATGAAGATGGCACAGGACTGGGAAGTATTTCATTACTTGTGCATGGGGTCACCATGAGTTAAGGGCTGACTTGATGGCAGCTAACAACAACAGCCGTTAGTAGATTTAAAAAGTTATAGGTAAAAATAATTATTACCACCACCACCAGAAGGCCAATTTCCACAGAACGAACTGAACTGGTTTTATTATTTGATCAAAGCAAGTAACAAAGACAGGCCCTTTAAATGAAAATTATTCCTCTGACATCTTACCATAGGCTCTGAGATCACATAGGACTGATTCTATAAAGAAATTTAAAAGAAAATAGTAAGAAATAAACACAAACTTTGGCAATAATCTCTAATGATAACGATAATACATGTTATTTAAATGGTACGTACTTGACAGTTATCAATCATACTTTTCATACTTCAAAGTAAAAACAGTAAACACACTTAGGAACAATTACAACTAAAACACATACCCACCTACAGCAGAGGCAGCTCTTATCTTATTCCTGACGTACGTGTGGCTTGCTGGGTTGTCTCCCACTAGAATGATACTGAGGTGAGGTCTTCTGTTCCCAAGGGAAATCCATGATTCCACACCTCGCTGTATTTCTTTCTGGATTTGTTTGGCCATTTCAGTTCCTGAGATAATAATGGCTTCATGTCTATGGAAAACAAAAGAATAAATGGAGTACTAAAAAGACAATAAGGAACATTCAACTGTGTACATTTAAGGTACAAGAGTGAGCAAAACATCTGTGATTCTTCTCCAAGTGAGCATCCAAAATTTAATTTGTTTCAATTATATTTGACATGTTTTCTTCAGGTTTATAAATATGTTCATAATTTTGTGAAGGATTCCAACTCTGCCTTTTAGTTCTACATTATAATCTATCTACTGCATACATTTCTTCAAAATTTTCATCTATATATTTTTTAAATTATCAAACCACATACTCAAGATCTAGGCTATAATATTGACACTATAAGTTTCTACTATTTTTTCAGAAGAGGCAGATCAGCACAGCATAGTTAAAAGTAGCACCCATCTTCAAAGCTCTGCTTCAGATTGTGTATAGGTGACCCTACTGATCCGATAAAGAGTGCAGCCAAGGAAACCCTACAGAGCAGTTCTACTCTGCCCTATAGGGTCACTATAAGTTGGAATCAACTCACTGGCACACAACAACAACAACTGTCTTGCAGCCCTAAGGCTGAGTTAGTTCATTCTTTTGGTTGGCAGATCATGTAAAAGAACCTGAAGTCATGAGCTCCACAATACACAACTCTTCTAGCTTGTTGTTGTTGTTGTAAGGTGCCATCAGTTGGTTCCGACTCGTAGCAACCCTGTGTACAACAGAACTAAACACTGTCCGGTCCTGCACCATCCTCACGATCCTTTTAGCTTACTCAAGGAAAATTTTATTCCACAGACCCAGGCCAACTGCTAACAACAGCTCTCAGACTTACCAGGCTTGCCAGTGATTATGGTAGAGACCAGCTTAGTAAATAGACAGCTAGGTTGTTCCCCCAAAATCTGACATCATTTCTAACAGAAAAACTGCACAGAACATTGTTTCCTGATAGATTATAAGTACTTAATGTGATGGTCTATTTCAGGGTCACTAAGCCTGTCAATAATAGTACAATATACATATGCCTACAAGGAAGACCAGTTAATATGACTATTATTCAAATTTACGTACCAACCACTCAGGCCAAAGATGAAGAAATTGAAGTTTTTTTACAAACTTCTGCAGTCTAAAATTGATCAAACATTCAATCAAGATGCATTGATAACTACTGGTGATTGGACTGCGAAAGCTGGAAACAAAGAAGGATTGGTAGTTGGAAAATATGGCTTTGGTGATAGAAACAATGCCGGAGATCACATGACATGATAGAATTTTGTAAGACCAATGACTTCTTCATTGCAAATATCTTTTTTAAACGACATAAACGGCAACTATACACGTAGTCCTCACCAGATGGAATACAATGAATCAAATTGACTACATTTGAGGAAAGAGATGATGGAGAAGCTCAATCTCATCAGTCAGAATAAGGCCAGGGTCCAACTGTGGAACAGATCATCAATTGTTCATCTGCAAGTTCAAGCTGAAGTTAAAAGAATATTTTTAAAAAAGTACAACCTTGAGTACATCCTACCTCAGTTTAGAGACCATCTCAAGAATAGATTTGATGAATTGAACACTAATGACCTAAGACCAGATGAGTTGTGGGATGACGTTAAGGACATTATACATGAAGAAAACAAAAGGTCATGAAAAAGACAGGAAAGTAAGAAAAGATCAAAACGGATGTCAGAGGAGACTCTGAAACTTGCTGTTGAATGTCGAGTAGCTAAAGTGAATGGAAGAAATGATGAAGTCAAAGAGCAGAACAGAAGATTTCAAAGGCCAGCTCAAGAAGACAAAAGTAAAGTATTATAATGAAATGTGCAAAGATCTGGAGTTAGAAAACCAAAAAAGGAGGAACACGCTCAGCATTTCTCAAGATGAAAGAACTGAAGAAAAAAATTAAAGCCTTGAGATGTAATACTGAGGATTCTAAGAGCAAAATCTTGAGTGCTGCTGGAAGAATAAAAAGAAGAAGGAAGGAATACGCAAGAGTCACTAGACCAAAAAGAATTTGTCAATGTTCAACCATTTCAGGAGGCAGCATTTGATCAAGAACTGATGGTATTGAAGGAAGAAGTCCAAGCTGCAAGAAAGGCACTGTCAGAAAACAAGGCTCCAGGGATTGACACAATACCAGTTAATATGTTTCAACAAACGGATGCAACTCTGGAAGCGCTCACTCATTTATGCCAAGAAATTTGGAAGACAGCTTCCTGGCCAACTGACTGCAAAAGAGCCATATTTGTGCCCATCCCAAACAAAGGTGATCCAAAGGAATGTGGAAATTATCGAACAATGTCATTAATATCACACGCAAGTAAAATTTGCTGTTCGAAAATGGTTGCAGCAGTACATAGACAGGGAACTGCCAGAAATTCAAGGCAGATTCAGAAGAGGATGTGGAATGAGGGCTATCATTGCTGATGTCAGATGGATCTTGGGCTGAAAACAGAGAATACCAGAAAGATGTTTACCTGTGTTTTATTGACTATGAAAACGCATTTGACTGTGGGGATCATAACAAATTATGGACGACTTTGCAAAGAATGGGAATTCCAGAACACTTAATTGTGCTCATGTGGAACCTGTACGTAGACCAAGGGGCAGTCGTTCAAACAGAATAAGGGGATACTGTGTGGTTTAAAATCAGATAATGTGTGAGCTAGGGTTGTATATTTCACATAAACCTGTTTTTTTTTTTTTATCAATCTCACCAATTGGAGAGTCTGGTGAATTTATACATCTTCTGGTGGAAAAATTGTCTGATACACCAACTGACTGGCAGAAGCAGCATTGTCCAATACTTCTCCGCCACCACCAGAGACTGAAAGGAGTTAACTGTTCCTAGCCACTGGGGGCCAATAGCACTTCATTTTATAAGTGAGTACTTTGTCTCCTGTCTTTGAATAGGAGGTGCTATTTATCCTTGTGTCTGGAAAGGGATAGGGAAAGAGTGGGTTATTGCTGATCATCTTTTAGGTTTATTTACACATTAAATTAGGAGCTTGATTAACTGCACATGCATTTCATACACTATTAGATATGATCATAATAAAAGTTGGAAGTATCAAGTAGAAATTTATCAAATTCATTCAGTTTATTTGATTTTAATGTTAATATTTTGTTAAGAATGGAAAAATAATAGAAGAGTTTCAATGAGGTTGATCTAGGACAAATCAGGACATATAGTTATTCAGCTAACTGTGATTTATTGCCAAATGGCTGATATAATTCTAGGCAGTAGCATGGACAAAAACATAGAGGCTATCACTGGGGTAGTATCATTTCCCTGTTGTGTGCTCTGATTAGACCACGTGCCCAGCCATACTTATTATTTCTTGCAGCTTGTTTTAAGAGGGGCACTTACAAACTGGAGCTGTTGACAAGGATGATGAGAGAGTTGACATCCATGCCACATAAACTGAGAAGAGAAAGGCTGGAAATTGTATGGTGATTGGTGGACATGGTTGGAGTCTTCAAACATTTGAAGGGCCTTTATGGAGAAGAAGTAATTAGACTATAGTCTACATAATAACAAAAAGCAGATTTAGGACCCTTGAACAAAGACTACATTAGATTCTACAGATGAAAGTACTTTTTAGTAATAAGAGCTGTCCAACAGTGGAACCATTTGAAATGTAGAAGAGTTCTCCCTCACTGCCAGTATTTATTCTTACAGAAAATAGATGACCTCCTATCAGGAACACTAGAGTGAGGATTCTTCCTTTGAGAATTATGGAGGCCTAAATCAATGGCTCTTAACCAGGCTCTGCAGAATCACATGATAGATGTTTTTATAACGAAACACTGGGATTTTTAGATCTAGGCTATGGAGTGTCTCAAAAGTTCCTGGCAATTCCTAAGCCAGTCTGTTTCATTGACTGTGCGTCCTGTTGTGTTCTGTGACAGAAGTTTTATCAGGGACGGTGAAGGTTTTTTTAAGATACAAAAAGTGCAAACTCTAGAGATAAAGATGGTTGAATTTTATATTAGAATTAAGATCTTTTCATCCAAAGTTAACCATAAAATAAGTGAAAATATAAACCACATACTGGTGATATTTGCCGTTCATATATAACCAATATAAAATTCGTGTTCAGAATGCATAAGTAACACAGATAATTGGACACAGATAAATAACCCCATAGAAAAATGATCAAAGGAGATGAACAGGCCTTAATTAGAAGGGAAACTCCAAATGGCCAATAAACATATGATAAGATGTCTAAACTCTAGTAGTTAGGGAAATGCATACCAAAACCACAATGAAATGCCATTTAACTAATTGGTTAAAGTTTAAAACTTTGACAGTGTCAAGTATTGACAAAGGGGTGGAGCAACAGGAACTCTTATATATCACTAGTGGATGTTGGAACTCTTGCAACCACTTTGGGAAACAATTTGGCAAGAATTGAATACACATATATGTAACCTCTGATCCAGCAATTCCATTCCTGGATGCACAACATAGAGAAACTCTGACACATATGTACCACAGAATATATACAAGAATGTTTATAACAGTACTTTTTGTAGTCATAAAAATAAAATGAAACAAAAACATCTGGAAGAAACCCAAATATCCACCATCTATAGCATATTCAATCAGGAGCCCTAGTGGTGCAGAGGTTAAGCACTCCATTGCTAACTGGAAGGTCAGCAGTTCAAACACGCCAGCCGCTCCAGGGGAGAAAGATGTGGCAGTCTGCTTGTGTAAAGATTTACAGCCTTGGAAACCCTGTGGGGGAGTTCTACACTGTCCTATAGGATTGCTATGAATTGGAATTGACTCAACAGCAATGGGTTGTTTTTTTTTAACAGCATATTCAAACAATGGAATACTATACAACAGGGAAAGTAATTACAGCTCCATATAATAACTTGGATGGTTCCTATTTATCAGGGAAAGTAAATTAATTAGAACTCTGTGTAATAACACGGATGGTTCCCAATAACTTAATTTTGAGTTGGGGGAAGAAAAAAGACGGGGTGGGAAGTTTATGCTCAGTATTATTCTATTTATA